TTTTTTTTATGGCTGAATAGTATTCCATAGAGTATATGTGCCACATTTTTTCAATCCATTCATCCATACGGGAGCATTTGGGATGGTTCCATGGCTTAGCAATCATGAATATTGCTGCAATAAACATTGATGTGCAAGCACTTTTCCAATGAAGAATTCTTCTGTCATTTGGGTAGATACCGAGGAGTGGGATTGCTGGATCATATAGTAGTTCTACTTGTAGATTTCTGAGGAATCTCCAAATTGTTCTCCACAGTGGCTGGACCAATTTACATTCCCACCTGCACCACACCCCCACTAACACTTATCATATATATATATATTTTTTTAATCTTAGACATTCTGACTGGGGTTAGGTGGTATCTCATTGTTGTTTTGATCTGCATTTCCCTTACGATGAGAGATGTTGAACATTTTCTCATATGCTTTTTGGCTAATCGTATGTCATCTTTAGAGAGTGTTTTTTTCAACTCCTCCCATCTTTTAATAGGGTTGATCATCTTTTTTCCAAACAACTGCTTGAGTTCCTTGTGTATTCTGGTTATCAGTCCCTTATCTGATGCATAATTTACAAAAATATTTTCCCATTCTGAGAGTTGTTGATATTTTTGTAGATTTTTTTTTCACAGAGGCAAAGGTGCTTAGATATTAAAAATTTTGTCAACATTAATCCATTTTACAAATTGCTTAAAGGAGAAAAATTATGCTGTACATTAATAGTTGCTGGGAAGGTTTCTGACAAAATCCAAAAGTAGTAGTAAAAGAAGTTAGTAAAATAGGAATAAAAGAAAAATATTTACCAAACATAAACGTGTAATTCCAAGGGCCAAAACACCAATTTCCATTAAAATCAGGAAATTAGACATGTGTGTTTATTATTTAACACATTCTCAGAAGTTCAATCAATTTAGTAAGATATGAACAAGAAAACATTTATGAACACTGTAAAAGAACAGCCACAGTCTTTTGAGGGTGTGTGGGCACTGGTGATATGATTGTGTAACTAGAATGTCCAGAAGTCACTTATAAAAAAAGCTAGAATATGACAACTTTGCAAACTGTATAAGACAAATACAAAACTCAATAGCTTTTGTATATTCTATGAATAAACACCAAGAATTTGAAATACGAAAAATAGTCCATTCACAGAAGAAGCAAAGTGACAGGAACCAATTTACAAAATTTACAAAGAAACTTATTTGAATAAAACTGTAAAATCCAGCAAACTCCAGCAATGCCAGTGTCAGCTGGTGTGCTCGTCACAGCCTAGAACCGGTCCTTTAAAACGGACTAACGCCTCTCCTTGAGGAGGTGGCCTCGGGACCCAGACCTGGGGTGGCCCCAGAGGCTGAGGTCATTGAGGGAAGCAGGGTGTGGGGAGCCGCCTAGGCAATTTGGGTGGGTCAATTGTGAGGTGGGTCAGTGGCCTTTGTGAGGTAGTTGAGCACACCAGCCACAGGAGACTGGGCCGTTGGGTCTGGCCAGGCTTTGAAGAAGTAAATCATCGGTCAGCACCAAAGAGCTTTCAGCTAAGAAGTGAAGCCGGAATTAGCGCCATATGTACTCGGTCGACACCAGTCTGGGACCTATTTAATAATCTTATTATTGAGGGTGGAGAAGACCTGGTTGATTGTTCAGTTTTATGACATAAGTGGATAAATATCTAGATTACCCAAAATGTGAAGAAACAGCAACAAAAAGACAAGAAGAAAATGAAGACCAAGTAGCAGTAAACTGCCAACGTAAGGAGCATCATCGGTTCCAGGACCATCGGCATTCAACTCGTCTCAACTGTGACATCGCCACCTAGTACTGAGAGCTCTACTACAGATTTTTGTTGTAGTTCTTTCCAAAGAAAGATTAGGGAAAAAAACAAACAAAAAACTTTTAACTTCAAGAAGAAATCAGTTACAGTTTTAAACATCTCTTCTAGTGTATTTAGGACAGATATTAGGTGATTTTAACTGCCATTAATGAGAGCGGACTGTACTAAACTGAAAGGAAGCCTGGAAAGTCAATTCCATTGCAAGGTTAAATTTCCATTGGTGGGCAGGAGACTGGAGACCTCACTGAAGTCATGGCCTTCACAAATTACAGCAGCCTCAGCTGAGCTCAGCTGACCTTTGAAGATCTGTACACGAATTCCACCACTCACCAATTCCTGTTTGGCACTCTTGCGGAACTGGTGGGTAATGCAAGAGATGCTGATGCCACCAGAGTAGATATTTATGCAGAAAGGCGAGAGGACCTTCGAGGAGGATTTATGCTTTGCTTTCTGGATG